GCATGCAAGTTAGGCGTTGCATGTCCCAGTGGCAGTCCCTGTGCAGTGACCGTGTGCAGTGACCGGCCCTTTCTCGTGCATGCAGGCCTGTACCCTCGACTTGAAGAGGCACGCTCGCACATCGTAACCGTGGTTCAGCATCCGGGCGACGCCATTTTTGTACCCTCAGGCTGGTGGCATACGGGTAGGCCCAATGCCATGTTCTTTGCACCTGCCAACCCACAGCAGCGTGGCCTCCGCTGAAGCATTCCAACCTTCTTCCCGACATCTGCGTGTTGGGTACTGCCCCCGATATTTTTGCAGTGGAGAATGTCGACGACTGTATTAGCATCAACCACAACTGGCTCAATGGCCACAACGTGCACTGGACGTGGGCGCTGCTGCGACTGGAACGGCAGCAGGCTGAGGAGGGCATCGAGGACTGCCGGGAGCTTTGCAGGCAAGACCGGCCCTCTCCTTTTTTCAGGAATCTAGGTCATTTTGGCAGAGGCCGATTGGTTTCTGAATTGCTACCATTTCATGTTTGCCTGCAGCCTGGCTGAGTTTGAACGATTGGTTCAGAGAAGTTGGGCGGCCAACGCGGGCATGGACTATGCGGGGCTTGGGGTTCTGCTGCGCTGTATCGCGCGGAGCAGTCTGCACCAGCTAGCAGGAGTCGGCAGCTGCCCACGCCATGAAGGAGCACCAGGCCAGTTGCAAGAGGCATTAATGGCAGCTGGAAGAGAGGAAGCAGGCAGCAGCAGCGAGCGTCAGCGCTGCCCATCTAGGATGGTGGCTGATGATGGCTTCACCAGCCTCAAAACTTGCAATCTCAGTAGCCCTTGGCATCACATGTTCAGGCTCCAGCGCGTGGCGGCGGTGCTTCGAGACCTTGTGGCAGAACAGCGCCACCTCCATAATGGCTGTCAGCAACTGGACGGCGAAGCAGCACTGCCACATGCCGCAGAGTTGGATGCCAACAGCGCCTGCCTGGCGCAGGTGGAGAGGCGGCTGCGTGAGTTGGGGGTTGAGGTGTTGTAACATTCCCATGACGACAGGGCAGACGTTTACAGAAAGCAGGTGGTCGGTGCGATTGCAGTGCTAGTCATCGAATAAAGATACAGATGAGAAAGGGTAAGAACAGTTCATTGCAAACATTTGGTACCAGTGGCCTGGCAAGGGCCGCCTCACGTGGCCGTCCCCAGCTGCAAAGCGAAGTACAACACGCCCGGCAGCGGGCAGTCGTTGTAGCGCTTGCAGGGCTGGAAGCCCAGCCTGCTGTACAAGCGATTGGCCCCCGACAGCCGCTCAAGCGTGTCCAGCACCATAAGGCGGTAGCCCAGGAGTGGCGCCGCTGTTAGCAGGGCCCGCACCAGCGCCGCGCCAGCGCCCAACCCGTGGTGCCCCTCCAGCACAAACAGCCGCTTCATCTCGCACACCTCTGCCAGCGGCACGCCCGCCACCGCGTCGCCCTCGCCCAGCGTGGGCGTGTGCCCGGCCAGGCGCCGTAGCGCCACGGCGCCGATGCATTCCTCGCCGCTGCCGCTCGCCGCATACGCCAGCAGCATGCTGCCTCCCGCCTCGGCGGCATAGCTGCCAGGCAGGCTCGCCAGCTCGCGCTCAATGCCCTGGAACCCAAGGTCTTCTCCCAACCATTCTGCATGCTCAACAGAAGGCAGGAAGAAGGCCGGTCGGGGCAGCGAGAGGGTCAAGGGCAGCGGCAGTGGCGGCATGGGCAGTAACTCGACTCAAATGGCGCTGTGCCGCCCGCAACTGACATCCAACCAATCGGAACACATCCTGTATCGCCCACACGGCCGCAGAAGCGCCAGCACCTAAGTAAGCGGCGGTGACGCTCTTAAACTCCTCGAGCTGCTGCTGCGATTTCACAGGTCGCACTACGACCTCTAGAGGAATCCGGGCCATGACTGGATGCTGCTGGGGGCGGTGAGCGGTGGGCCGCTGCTCTCCTGGCCTGAAGAGCGGTTGAAAGGAGCGACCGAGGGCGGCACCAGAGATCATGGCAGCATTCCGGTTGGGCTAACCTTGGCGGTTGTTGGCCCACCAGCTGCGTGTCATGACACTCAGCGCCAGGTGGCCGCTGCGCTGGCGTCACATCCTGTGTGCAATTTGCAGTGCTTGCACAATCATGAACCGCCAAACATAGCTCAGCACAGTTCAGTTACAAGAGAATATTGGAAAACATGACGGGATTTCACACAAATTGCATGGAAGGCGGTGCAAAGGAATGTCGGGCAAAACTGGGTGGAGAGCAACAGGTGCATGAATGGACACGGTTGGTTGGTGCATGAATGGACATGATGGTTGGTTGGGGCATGAATGGCAGGAGCAAGCATGGGTATGATGCTTCACCTACTTGCATGGCCCCATGTGAGACAAGCTACAAATACTAAGAGAGACGCTGCGAAGAATGAATGGATGAAGACATCACGGCGCTGCCCCAAACCCCTTTCCCCCACCCCCTGTAGCCCCCCTCTTCTTGCCCTTGCCCTTGGTGGCCTTGGCGGCCTTGCCGCCGGCGTGGGCCACGCTGCCCAGCCGCGCCTGCGCCCTGGCCTGCGCGGCGCGTATGCCCTCCAGGCTGGGCGCATCCAGGCAGTCGAAGAGGAAACCCACGGCGCGGCGCTCCAGGGGCTTGACCTCGGGGTGCCAGTGGCGCATGATGAGGACGATGCGATCGCGGTCGGCGCCATTGAACGTTTCGTGGACAAAGCTGGTGTCCCACACCACGGCCCTGCCCTGCTCCCACTGCCGCACGTGGTCGCCCACCTTGAACCAGCAGTCGCCGGCTGGTATGTCCAGGCCCAGGTGCGAGGTCTGTATGAAGTTGACGTAATCGGTGTGGCTCTTGATGCCCGTGCCCGCGGGCTGGCGAGCAAAGAACACCTCCAGCGTGGGCGCTGCCGCGGGAGGGGTGGGTGGAGAAGGGAGGCCCGTGAGCGCGTGATCCCTGGGCCAGGGGCAGGTGGGACGAGTGGACGGCTGGCGCTGCGCGGCGGCTTGCATCTCTGGCCGGGCAGCAGCAGGCGGATGGCGCACACACCTTTGAGGTCCTGGAAGACTTGGACGGTCCGTGGGAAGAGGCGGGCGTTGTCTGGGTCCCAGTGACCACGGTCCTGCAGCCCAGCGTGGCACGGCATGCACCAGCGTGAGCTTGCACCGGCGGCATGCTTAACCAGGTCAGCAGCAACAGCCACGCCACAACCACGCCCTCCCTCCCCCGCCTTTGTCCCCTCTCACCTGGAGCACCAGCGTGCGCCAGTCGTCTCCATACCCCGCCGCATCGCCCCGCACTGCCGGCACCCAGATGTTGTTCCCCTTTGCCGCCAGCTCCGCGTCGGCTGTCACCTCGCGGAACTCTCGCAGGATCGCATCCGCCTGCGATGCGGTGGAGGGGGGGCAGGCACGAGACAGAAGAGGACGGCGGATGGGTGGGACAGCAAGCCAGGGCGAGAAGGAGGGGCAGAGGGGAGGGAGCAACGAGGCGAGCCGGTGTGTAGGGTCGCTCCAGTGCAGCTGCATGCCGGGGATGCAGGTGGTAGCCACGCAGCAACCAAGCAACAGCAACCTGGAGAGAGCCCGCCGCACCCCAAACACACAACCCGCTGTGCACGCTGTACCGCACCCCTTGCACACACGCCCACCTGCTGCTCCACTGCCAGCAGCCACTCATAGCCGGGTGCCTGGATGTCGGGGAGGGGCGCCGCTGTCAGGCCCTTGATGTAGCTGTTGGCCACTTGCAGGCCCAGACCCGGCCAGTGCCTCTCGTACTCCCGCCCCGCCAGCAGGCGCCGGTAGCTGTCCAGCACGCGCGGGGCCGCCAGCGCGCCCCAAAAAGTCTCCTCAAATGCTTCCTCCACCGCCTTGCCCAGCTCCTCCTGGCTCAGGGTTGCCGGCGCAGCAGAGCGCAGGAATTCTAGGTCGGGGCCCACAGCTGGCACCCCCGCGGATGGCGTTAAACCGCGCCGGGCTGCCGCCGCGGGCACTCGCCGGCGCCCAGGCCGGACTGCACAAAAGCACGGGCAGCAGGACCTATTATGGCTTGGACACAGTGGAATCCCCAGCATGTGGAGCAGCCCCCAAATACAGCTCGTTGCCATTCAGGTGCACGAGAGTGGCCTGCCTGTGGGCTGGCGCATGTGGGCCCGCCCGCCGCTGCCCGCTGCTGCACCAGCGCGCCCCCGGAAGGGCAGGGCCCTTGCCTCCTCAAGCCCCGCTCACCTGCTGCGCCCGCACAGCGAGTTGTCCCCTGGCAGCCGGCATGCCCCCCTCCTCTGCACGCAGGAGGAGCGCCGACTGCCAACGCCATGCCTCAACTCCGGGACGCCCCCGCTCAGTCCTCCAGTGAACCCCTCGATCGGAAATGGGGAGGCCAGCTCATGTGTGTTGGGCAACACATGCGGTCGGCCGACACGTCGACCTGACGCAACATTTCGGCAGCAGCCCCTTCTATTGCATTCGACAGGTGAACTGCTGGTAGCTGGTAGATTGGGCCATGGCAGAGGTAGGGCGACAGAAGCAGAGGGCAACGCCCATGTCAAAGTTGTGTGCTCGCTTCAGAGACTGCACACAGAGTCTCTGCTGCACGGTGTGAGCGCAGAAAGAGGCTGGCCGCGGTTGGGCGGGGCTGCCACCCGACCTTTTGAAGCGGGCTGTGGCGGCGGCACTGCCCCAACCCGACTTCACTCCTAGAGACAGCTCGCCTGTGGGTCAGCCTGCGGCTGGCGCGCCGCAGCTGGACGGCGGTAGTGATGACATGCCGGTGGCAGTGAAGGCCTGCGTGCCTGTGCCCGTCAGCTGCCCTGGCTCCACCGCCATGTCACGGCGCTCACCCTCACCCCACCACCGCGAGTGGTAGCTCATCTGCGGCAGACCGGCGTGAGGAGGGCCTGGCCTGGGCAGAGGGACTGTGCGGCAGCAGGCTGAACGTGCAGGGCGAGGCTTGGGAGCTGGCAGGCCTCGAGTCGCCCCTGGCGGCAGGTGGGCACGCCAGCTGCCGACGCCAGCTGCCGCCACCTGCTGCCGGCTGCTGGCAGGCATGCCTGTCTGCTGCCAGCCTCGTTGTGCAACCGCAGCCCTCATTCCTCGTGACCCCTGTCATTGTCAAGTGCAGCGCTGATAGCCTGAGAGCTATGTGCACAAGTTGGCCACAGGCTCTTCACAGCACACCAGCGAGCCCGCCTCTTCATTTCCAGTAACGGCTTTTGTACCGCCAGAGCGCGCGCCTACCACCAATGAAGGCCTCACTTTATTTGTTGCACATTTGAGCAATCAAGCGTGTCCTGACTGTGAAGCAACCACAACCATTTAGAATCAAATTCTTTGCCAATCCTCGCTGCTGCAGATCCTCTGCTGGCGTAGCAGACGAGGCCGAAACGGCATGCCTCAGGGCAGGCCATTCGACAGGCCCAGGTGCAGCTCGCCGACCGCCCCGGTGGTGGCCCCAAAGGCGGGCAGCTTGGTCGCGCCAAAGGGCGGCACGCCCAGGGGGCTGACGCCGTAGGGAGGGCTGCCACCGCTGCTGAGGGAGCCGTGGTGCGGCACGGCAAAGCCAAGGGTGGGGGAGCCTGCAGGTGCGTGGCAGGGGCAGAGGCGTGGGCCCAGGCATCAGCATGTGGTTGCCAGTGCAGCCAGGCAGGCACAAGACGGTCGTGTGAGCAGCCCGGCCCTGAAACCCACCGGCCGGGCCGCCAAACAGCATGGGCGCCTTGAGCGCGCCGGGCAGGTGAGGGCGCTTGCGGGCTCGGTAATCGGACCCCAGGCTGGAGCCGGGCACGGAGCCAAAGCGGGTGCGCTTCAAGTCGTCAGTGTCGCCTGCAGGCAGGGGTGATGTGCACGGGGAGGGGGCCAGGACTGAGTGCGCCAGCCGGAGTGCATCGGAAAGGGCAGGGCAGGGCGGGGCGAGCAAGCAGAGAGCCGGCCACATGCGGTGTGCCCAGCGTGCGGCCGCCCCTGCACCGCGCCGCCGCCACGCACCAGAGTTGGAGGAGCTCTCGTACCCCGAGCTGCTGCTGCTGCTGTTGCTGCTGTCATCGTCGTCACTGCTGCTGCTGCTGCTGCTGCTGCTGTCATCCAGGCCCGACAGCGCCTGCCCAGCCTGCAGCAGGCCAAGAGGGCAGCCGCCCAGCACGTGAGCAGGGGTGCGTGGCCGGCCTGGCAGGCAGGCAGGCAGGCGGGCTCCACACAGGCAGGCGCCGCGGCACCGAATGCAGTACAGGCAGGCAGCACCGCATGCAGTACAGGGATGCAGCAGGCACGCACCGCCGCGGCCGCCTCCTCCTCCGACATCTCGCTCCCCGCCTCCTCCTCCTCCTCCTCCTCCTCGTCAGAGTCTGTGTCGGATGACTCGAGGTCGGCACGCACAGCGCCCGCGGGGTGGCCCCTCCTCCACCACACGTATGTGGCGCCCAGGTCCAGGTGCGAGGCTGAGCGGCGGAGGAGGTAGGGGTCAAAGGGGAAGAAGAGCTCCAGCTGGCGGTGGGGGGGCTTGTGCGCGTGGGCGCCGCCGCCGCCACCCGCATGCCGCCGCTCCCACTCCCGCACAATCTTGGCCAGCTCGTCAAAGCCCTGCACCCGTGCCTGCAGCAGGGGAAGGAACAGGGGGGCCTCAGGGAGGCGAGGTGAAGAAGAGCGGCGGGCAGTCGGCGGCGTGCCAGCGTGCTGCGCTGAGTGGAGGTGGGGTGCTGGGTCACCTGGCCCGCCCCCCAGACCAGCAGCATGCAGGAGGTAGCTGCAAGGGCAGGCGCACCTGCCGCCCAAACTCTGCCACCACCGACCGCGCGCAGCTGCTCAGCGGGTCCAGGCCGTGCTGCAGCAGCTTGGGCATGGGCCCCGAAAACAGCTGGCGCACCGCCTCGGCGCAGGCCTCGCGCTGCGGGGCAGGCACGGGGCGGGCAGGGAGGGGTGAGGGGAGCAGGAGGGTGAGGGGGAGGGGTGAGTAGAGCGCGGGAACCACTGGCCAGGCCAGCACCTGCCACGCCGATGCGCCTCCCACCTGCGCGTGCGTGGCGTCCCGCCGCTCATGCGCCCGCATGCCCGTCGGCGTGTCTACAGATGCGGGCGTGCCGCCGCTGGCGCCCAAGCTGCCCGCCGCGCCCGCCGCTGCCGCCGCCGCGCCCGCCGCCGCCGGCTCTCCGATGCCGGCGGGCGCCACGGCGGCGCCAACGCCGCCGTCGTGGTTGTGCTGGCGTGCACGGGGCGGGCGCAGCAGGGGCTCCATGTGGTAGCACAGAACGTACAGCAGGGCCTGGCAGGCGGCGTGGAAGGCGCCGTGCCGCACTTTGGCGTCAGAAGAAATCACTGCAAGCGGTGGGGCCAAAGCAGAGGCAGGGTCAGCCGGTGTGGAGGCGGGAGCCCGCCTGTGCTTGGCGGCGGCCCAAGGCGGACCACGCCCGGCCATCGGGCTGGGTGCCAGTGCCGTGGGTGGGCGCCCGCCGGCGCGCCGGGCGCAGCTCACTTGCGATGCTGCTGGAGGATGGGATGGGGGGCAGGCCTCCGCGCCGGTCCTCGTCCCGGGCGTACCGCAGGCACCAGTCGGCGATGCGCTGCAGGCTCTCCACCACCAGGCCCTCGGGGCAGTAGGCGGCCCTGCAGGCAGGCGAGGGGCCAGGAACGGCGCAAAGCGTGGTCAGCTTCAATTCAGCGCCAAGGACACACTGCCTCGCTTCACCCCTCGGCGGCAGATGCGCAAGCTGGCTGGCACGAGCACCACTCCCACGCCGGCCTGGCCCCAGGCTGGCCCGCCCCCTGCCCCCGCCAGGCGCGCGCCTGGCCAGGAAGGATGCGGCGTAGGCGGCGCAGGCGGAGCGCGCGATGGGCGGCTGCTGCTTGTCGGTCAGGCGGCTGATGAGGAGGTGCAGGAAGGCGCGGCAGCAGGGCTCGGGGGCCTGGCGGCAGGCGTAGAAGAGCAGGAACTGCGGGCGGGCGGGCAGGGGGCGGGGCCAGCAGCGTCTTGAAGTGGCAGCAGCAGCAACATGCTGCACGTCCCCACCTCCAGGCTGGTGGCGGCATTGGAGTGCTGCTGCCGTGCTGCCGGGGCCCACCTGCGTGAACTTGGAGCGGTGGGTGAGCAGCACGCAGCGCTCAAACGCGCCCAGCAGCGTGGCCCAGGCCCCGGGCAGCTGCCCCGCGGCCTGCCGCGCCGCCAGGTGCGCAAACGTCAGCTCCATCATGCTGTCCAGCTTGTCGGCCGTCTCATCCACCCGAGGCTTCTCCGCCGCCTCCCCCTCGCCGCCGCCAGCCGCGGCGGCGGGGTGCTTGAGGGCGTGGCCGCCCTCCCAGCCGCCGCGCGCGGCGGGGCGCGGCGACGCGCCGTCCTCGCCGCTGCTGCCGCCGTGGTTGCCCAGATCCAGCTCGCTCATGCCTGCGGGGGGCGGGCGGGCGAGCAGCACAGCAGGAACGAGACGCATGCAGCGTCACCAAACCAGCTGCCTCATCAAATCTGCACCGGGCTGCCGCCCGCAAGCTGACGGCGGCACAGCGCCACCCAGCGGGCAGGCGAGGGCACGCCGTGGGCAAGCTCAGGAGGTTTACGGGTGAGCGGGCTGAGGAGAGCCCGGCAGCACCGGCCCTCACCCTCCAGCTCGAAGATGTCTGGCTCCTCCTCGGGCGGCAGCCCGCCCTCCTCCTCCCGCGTCTCCTCCGTGTGCACCTCTGCAATGTCCTCCCACCTGCGCCGAGGGCAAAGGCAGCACCGGCGGTGAGCAGCCCTGCAAAGCCGACAGCTGCAGCGCCCCTGCCACTGCTCACGGCGTGCGCTCGCCCTGTGCCACCTTCCCACCTTCGCTCGGCCACTGTCTGCCACTGCCACCGCCCCACCGCCCCTGCCCCACAGCCCTCCACGCCGCCTGCCCACCTGATCTCCACATCGATCGAGATGAGGTGCTCCAGCACACCCGACAGCAGGCCCTCGCGGATGCCGCCCCCGGCACGCCCCTCCGCCAGCCCATACACCGCGCGCAGGTACAGGCACTGCGTGTTGCGGTCCCGCAGCTTGTGGGGGAAGTTGGCCACCACGAGCGGCAGCAGGCGCGACCCGGCCGTGGGCACCAGCACCAGCACCTGCAGGCCAAGGGGCCGCATGCGATGCAGGGGTGAGGCTGGCAGGCGGGCAGCATCGGCGCCTGGGCAGCCAAACATCAGAACAAATCGGAGCAGACGTGTCTGAACACGACTTGCCAATGGCAGCGGCAGGGCTTTGCCAAAGCTTGACGGCATAGCGCGCCCGCCAGCCACCATAGCCAACCGCTCTACCTAAGCATCCCCCATCCAGCGGTCTGTGAGCAACAACCAAGCTGTGTGCATCCAGCACAGGGGAAAGATGGTGGGATGTTTTGGCGGTTGGCGCGGAGTTGCCGCTCCGCGCAGCACCGGCCTTCCAAGACGCTGCTCCGCTAGTGCAGCAATGCTGACCACGTAGCAGGACTGCACCATCACTTGGTATGGACTGCTTGGTTCCGTGCCCTCGCCTATTTCGGCGAGGCTGTGGAGCCGCAGCCAGGCGGTGCTGGTGTGCGGCTCACCACCGCCCTACGGCGCACCCAGATGGGGTGCCGAGGCATGCCATGCCGACAGACCAGCTTCCCGCCAGCAGGGGCCAGCTTGCACCCGAGGCTGTGCGATGAAGCAGGGGAGCCGCCGGCCAGCTGGGGCATTTGGCCAGCCAGCTCTTGCTGTGCCCCAAGCACAGGCTGGCTACAGTTCGCCACTCCTTCCCTGCCCAGGCCCAGGCCTGTAGGCCTGCAGCCACAGCATGTGCCTGGGCCCCAACCCCCTCACCTTCTCCGTGGCTCCCAGCACCTCGTCCTGTATGAGCGCCTGCCCCTCCAGCGGCTGCCACTGCTCGCCCGGGTGCGGGTCCGGCAGCGGCGGCCCCGGCGGCGGCAGCAGGCTGTACACCAGCGTCTGCAGGCACGACTGCACCAGGGCGCCGTTGGCCACCACCACATGCGCCACCCAGTCCAGCAGCTCCAGGCGCAGCGCCTGCAGGCGGGGGCGAGGGCACGGCACGGAGATGAGGCAAGCTTGGACGTAATGTTTGCGCCCCGAGCGATGGCAACAATTCAAAGAAGCTCAGGCATCGGGGTGGCTGCCTGGCAAAAGGGCCAGAAGCACGCCGCCGCCGGCCAGCCCACCTGCGGGACCTGCCACAGCGGCGTGTCTAGCAGCTCCTTGAGCAGCAGCTCGTGCCGGCGCTCGTGCACCAGCGACACGCAGGCACCCAGCACGCGCAGCAGCGCCGTCAGCTGGTCTGCTGCGGCGGGGTCGGGTGCTGCGGCGCCGGCTCCCACACCGCCGCCGCCCCGCAAGGCGCCCTTGAGCCGCTTCACCTCGCTCACTAGCCTGCAGAGCAACGGTGGCAGAGTGCATCAATCAACGCTGCAAACAACTTCCGAGCGCCTCCTCTGTTCTGTTTTGTATGTTGGCACGTGTGCAGCGCGGGACTGGGTCAACAAGCAAGGGCGCCGCCGGGCGGGTGGGCTCACTGGTCATAGAGCGCGGTGCTGCCGCCGCTGGCTTTTGCAGCCAGCGCCTCTTGCACATACTGCCGGAGAAGCTCGTCCGCGTCTGCCCCTGCAGCTGGCAGGCGCAGGCATGAGCGAGGGCGCCAAAGGGCGGCGGCAGGTTTTTGCAACAAGGCAGCAGGAGCTGGCATGTAACGCACCTACAGACATCTTGGGATGCGGGCTTGCTTAGCAGGCCGCCATGCTGCAAAGGAGGGCATGCACAGGTGCCTGTGCACCGTGGCCCTGCTGCCAAGCGGTCTAGGGACGTACAGCAGGCTCTTCAGAGGGACAGGGGCGCCGCACAAAGCATAGTTTCATCCTCACGCCGCCATTTTTGCCAACTCAGCCGAAATTGCATCGCCAGTCGAAGAAACCCTGGCCCAACCCCCTACGTGCAAATTGCAGCTTTCCCTCGCTCGATCCACGCTCTCAGCAGCAGCACTTCCCTGGCAAAGGCACCCCCACCCCGCTGGCAGAACACCGGCAGCCAAGCTGAACAGCACTTTATCTGCGACTGTAGTTCCTGCGGGGCACCTATCAAGGGCAGGGTCGCCTCGCAGGGGTGGCATCAGAAACATGGAGAAGTCCCATTCAGCTCTCGTCGAGCCTTCGGCCGCCCAGGGCCAGCCTGCAGCCAGGCCGGGCAGCGGCGACGCCGCCACCAAGCCCGGCAGCGCCCAGCAGCAGCAGCAGGCAGCGGGCGACCCGCTGTCGCCGCGTGGTGGCGCAGGCAAGGCGGCTCCCGCTCCGGCGCCTGCAGCGGCGGTGCCCTCCCTGCCGGGCGAGGTCACCGAGCCATTGCTTCCCATGAGCAGCGAGGACTGCACACCGGTGCCGTCGGTGGAGCTGGCGCCGGCGCTCACGGCAGAGGAGGCGGAGCGGCGCAAGCGGCGGCGCGACCGCTGGGAGAGGGAGGCCGAGGCCAAGCAGCGGTGGGAGCTGCAGCGCCGCCTGGTGGACATCAGCACCGACGTCGAGTTCCTGGCGAGGGAGGTGAGCTTGGGGATGGCAGCCGGGCTGGGGCGAGCTGGAAGGGGCCAAACTGGAGGCATCAGGAAAAGTCGGGCTCGCGTGTGTGATGCTGCAACCTGCCCCTTGCCTCGTCTGCAGGTGGAGCGGGTGCGGAACGAGATGGACGTGCCGCTGCCGTCGCTGAGCGAGCTGAACGAGGCGGAGCGCACGCAGGTGTGTGTGGGTGGGGGGTGGCGTGCACACACGTCGTGCGGCTTGGCTTGGCGTGCACACCCAGGGCGGGCCGCTGTTCCATCCGCGCCCCTCCCGCGCTGAACAGCCCCTCCTGGCCCCCCTGGCCTGCTCCGCCTTTTCCTGCCCACAGCTGGAGGCGTGGCGGCGCAAACGCTGCAACGACCTGCTGATCAACCACTGCAAGAAGACGCTGGCACAGATCACCACGCACAAGGTGAGGGTTCCTGGCCGCCACGCTACACCCGTCTCCCCACCGCTCCATGCCGCGCCGACCTGTACCAGCCCGCCATCCCTGCCTGCTTCCCCGCCGCGGTCCACCCCTGCTCCCTCCGGCATCCCCCCGCATGAAGCACAACCCCACTCCCTCCCTCCCTCTCCCCTCCACCACCGCAGTGGTCCTGGCCATTCAACGCCCCCGTGGACCTGCGCCAGTACCCCGACTACGCGGAGACGGTATCCCGCCCCATGGACTTTGGCACCATCAAGCGCCGCATCGACGTGGGGCTGTACCGCCACCCAGACGAGTTCCTGTCCGACGTGCGCCTCGTGTTTGACAACGCCCGCCTCTACAACAAGCCCGGCAGCGACGTGCACGTCATGGCAAACACGCTGCAGGTGGGGGCGAGGGTGGCAGGGGTGGGTGGGTGGGTGGGTGGGGGCTAGGGATGCCGGTGGCAGGGTGTGTCTGTGTGTGTTCTGCGGGCAGGGGTCGTTTCAGCTCGCTCAATGAGGCAGCGTCTGTAGCGGCGCCCTCGTGCTGACCTGCCTCCTTGCGGCCCCCGCTGCGCGCAGGAGCGGTTTGAGGAGCGGTACGCCGTGTCTGTGACGCCGCGCGTGCTGGAGGAGGCGGCCATCTGGCAGTACCAGACGGAGGAGGCGCGGCGGCGCCACGTGGAGGCCAGCGCGCGCGACAGCGGCGACGCGCTGGAGCAGCACTGCGCGGTGCGGGGCAGGGGGAGGGGGGCGGATGCGTCCTCCTTGCGCTTGCGCCTGGGCCAACCTGGCCTTTGCAGTCGGCTGTGGGCATGTGAGCGCCGGTGGCAGCGTTGCCTCTTGCGTGCATGCCAACACGTCTTCCTTTTTCTCGTCCCGCTGCCTGCAGGTGCTGGTCAAGTACATAGATGAGGCGCAGGCATGCATCCTGGATGCACGCAGCGCGGCGGCCGCCCTGTGCAAGCCCGTCAGCAGGGAGGAGAAGGTGCCGGGGGGCTCGGGCTCAGCCGTGGCGCTAGGGTGCACGCCGCGGGGCGCGTGCAGTCGCTGACGCGTACAGGAGGCTTGGCCCGTGTGCAGTGGCGTGGCTGCTGCTGCCTGCGTGCCGCCACGCCTGGCTGACCGCTTAGCTGGCCTTGCCCTTGTCTGCAACCCTGCAGGAGGCGCTGGTACGGGCGCTCACCTCCATGCCGCAGGACCAGTTTGAGCTGGCTGTGGCGCTGGTGATGGGGCACCACCCGGGCCTGCAGCCCTACGACGACTTTGGGTTCGACCTGGATGCGCTGGATGCGCTGACGCTGCGCCAGATGCAGGTGTGTGTGTGTGTGGGGGGGGGGGGACGGTGC